AAGGATGAGAGAAAGATATAATAAGGTTTCATTTTTCTTGAGAACTCCAAGGGGGAAGTTAATATTTAAGGGAAAATACTAAACGTATTGAGAAAAGAAGTTAACTTGAAGAAAATTCTCCCATGTTTAAAGGATTTCAGGAGAAGTCTAATTGAATGTTTGTAAGAATGGCTAAAAACAGTTCTAAACTACCAAAAATTATTTTTCGAAGTTTCATAACATTTATTTTCTGGCTAATGGGATGATTAAAATGTCAACCAAAAACGGGTACAGTTCAATTATAGTCACACACTATGCAATTAAAAATGCCTCACAGCAAAATAAACTTGTTATTATTATGGGGGGCATTTTTATTAGATTAAGAAAACTATTGTCAGGTTTGATTGAGGTGATACAGTAATGTCACCTTAATTCCCATAAATCAAATAAGGAGCCTGGAAAGTGAACTTTTAAAAACATTTAAAAAGGGGCGCCTGGGTGGCACAGTCGTTAAGCGTCTGCCTTCGGCTCAGGTCATGATCCCAAGGTCCTGGGATCGAGTCCCGCATCCGGCTCTCTGCTCAGCAGGAAGCCTGCTTCTCCCTCTCCCACTCCCCCTGCTTGTGTTCCCTCTCTCACTGTGTCTCTCTCTGTCAAATAAATAAATAAAATCTTTAAAAAAAAAAAAACATTTAAAAATTTTCAGCCTGGGGGCGCCTGGGTGGCTCAGTCGGTTAAGCGTCTGCCTTGGGCTCAGGTCATGATCCCAGGGTCCTGGGATCAAGCCCCGCATCGGGCTCCCTGCTCAGCGGGAAGCCTGCTTCTCCCTCTCCCACTCCCCCTGCTTGTGTTCCCTCTCTCGCTGTGTCTCTCTCTATCAAATAAATAAAATCTTTAAAAAAAAAAAAATTTCAGCCTGAAGGAAAATAAAGGCATATTCTATTGCTTTAGCAATCTTAGAATGGTAATTACCCTCCCAATAGGTGAGTGACTAGGAACATTTGGCAGACCACAGGAGTTTAATGCTTATAAAATGGCCTTTTCTTCAGTTTAATAGCAGGTGTGTAGTGTTGGTTACCTCATTTTCACTCTCATTAGGCAGAAAGTACAGTGATGTTAGATTATTCAAAACTAATCTCCAGATTTTTCTGTCCTCTGCATTGGTAGCTTCATAGATAATATTCATTAAATTTTTAATTAGCTTTTATATATAACACAGAAAAGAAATATTAAATAAAAACATATATATCTTGATTTAAGCTGTAGTTTCATGTCTGATATGATGTGCCAAAACCTTTATTTCCATTATATTTTTAATGCACATGTGAAACTTGGAAAGAATTATGCAGTGATTTCTTTCAGAAAACAAATAAGAACCTGCCTGGTAATTATTACCTCAATTTGCCTAGTTGCTTAGGAAATAACCTAGGAGCCATCCTTCATTTTTCATATCTGACATTCAATTCATTATCAAATATTATTCACTCTGTTTTAAAAATGTAACCCTCGGGGAGCCTGGGTGGCTCAGTCTGTTAAGTTGTCTGCCTTTGGCTCAGGTCATGATCCCAGGGTCCTGGGATGGAGCCCTGAGTCAGTCTCCCTGCTCAGCGGGGAACCTGCTTGAATCTCCCTCTGAAACTCCCCCCGCCCCAGCTCATGCTCTCTTTCTCTCAAAAATAAATAAAATCTTAAAAATAAATAAATAAAATAAATAAAAATTTAACCCTCAACCGACCTCTACTGACCATGTCCTCTACTGCTGATCTAAACCAACATTTTATCTAGCTCTGGACCCCTCAGGAGCCTCCTACCTCCATTTTTGCCCCTACATTCTGTTTTGCACTCAGCAGTCATAACCGTCCTGTAAAATTAAAGCACATAAGGTCATTCTGCTGTTTACAAATCTGCCATAGCTTCTCACCACACATAGAATAAAATTCAGCATCCTCCCTGTGGCCTACAAGGCCTCTGCGCTCAGGCCTTTGGCTTTTTCTCAGACTCTTTCCAACTCTTTCCAGACTCAGGGTCTTCCACCCAGATCATTTCCCCTCATGCCTTTCCATGTCTGCCACTTTATTTCCTTCGGGAGTTCGTTGCTTCCTGGAACAAACCAGGCTGTCTCCCAGCTTAAGTCCTGTATATTGGCTCTTTCTGTGTTAAAAGCTCTCTTTCTCCAGATATTTCCATGCTTCACAGCATTTCCCCTGAGGGCTATCTGGTCATCCTATCTAATATTGCCAATTCCTCCCAGTCCCAGCCCTCCTGATCTTCTGTGTCACCTTCTGTGTTTTCCTATAGCACATTGTCATCTTTTAAAATACCACATAATTTAATTATTCCCCATCTCTATTCATTATTTGTCTTCCCCTGCAAGATGTGAGCTCTCTGAGGCAAGGATTTTTCTGTGTCTTTTTTTGTTGTTGATTTTTGTATCCCACATGCCTAGAACAATGTCTGGCATAGAGTAGCCCCAAAATAAATATTGTTGAATGGATGAATGAATGATTTAGACTTAGCTGTATGGCAGTGTGTCAGAGCATAATGCAGATTTAAAGAAGAAGTTTAAATTAAAATTAATAAGCATCATGGCAATAGTCTCATAATAGCTTAAAAATCTTCTATCTTCAGGAAATAATAAAATACAGTACTATCTATTGTTATTGAATCCAGTTGTTGATCCAAAAGAATTTTTTAAAGGCAAAATATATGATTGAAGAGATTATTTGAGTAATTCAAGCAAAACACTGATGTTATTTCTATCATTCCATGTTAGTAGATAACTCTCTACTTTCAAATTAATATCAACATATTTTTGGTAATTCAATCTTTTTGTAGTTAATTATAGCAACTTTTTTACATTTTTCTCTATTTTTCCTTAGTAAATGAGTACATCCAAAAGATATTTTATGGATCCTTTTACTCCTTGATATTCTGCTTTCACATAGTTTAGGTCTATTTTTCTCAAAAATTGGAAATCTTTTCATTAGTTTATTTGTACCCTTTTCTTCTTCCTTAAAAATTATTAAGATGTGGAGCACCTGGGTAACTGAGTTGGTTAAAGTTCAGGTCATGATCTCAGGGTCCTGGGATTCAGTCCCATGTTGTCGGGGGGGGGGGGTGTTCCCTGTTCAGTGGGGAGTTTGCTTCTCCTTCTCCCTCTGCCCCTTTCCCTGCTTGTGCTCTCTTTTTCTCTCTCTCAAATAAATAAATAAAATCTTTAGAAAAAAATTTTTAAGATATAGCTGATTTAAAAAAAGGTGTTCTTCCATATACATGCTAATAGTAATTATTAAATTAAATAATTTAATTAAAGTAATTAAATAAATAATTAAAATTAAAACAATAGTAATTATTAAAATGAATTAATAAAGGAAAAATGCCACATAACTTGAAATAATTATATAAAAATTTTCAAGAGCTTTTAAATAAATTATTTAATAGTATTACCCACATTTGTACTGGGAATTATTCTGTTTTTTTTATAAATAATCTTATGTAATACCTTCTATTTATCCACTGCACAGTAGACTTTTATTTGATTGATTTGGTTTCAGTAAATAAAGCATATTAGTCAAATATCATCTTTGATATCTATGTCTATCTAGTGAGTTATATGGCAAAAAAAAAAAAAGAAAGAAAAAAAGAAAATGTCCCAAAATGTTGCAGAAGTCTAGAAAGTATTATATGGTTCTTGGTGAAGACCAGTGAAAGAGACAGCTACTTTTCCACGAGGATTAATTTATCTCTTCTTTTTTTGAAATTACATTTCCAAGTTTTAGCTGGGTGCATAGTCACTCAGCAAGGGCCAGCAAGACTCACTTGCATCCAGATTTGGCCCTATGACAAATTTATACCTGAAGAAAGGTGAGCCAAAATAATATGTGGCTATTTTAAGTCATGTCCTTAAAAGGAATAGATATATATACTAAACTTGGTTTTCACTCCTTCCCCACTGCATTATGAATATGTTGGAAGATCTCGAGAAACCACAATGGGTGTAGAAATCCTACCAGTCCTGAACTGCAAGCCTCCAGACTGTTCAAGGTTTTCTGTCTTATGTTGAAGCTTTTATTTCAGGATCATTTTTTTAAAGAGTTTGTTTATTTATTTGAGAGAGAGAGATAAGAGAGGGCATGAGTGGGGGGAGGGGCAGAGGGAGAAGCAGACTCCTTGCTGAGCGTGGAGCTCAAAGACACAGGGCTCAATCCCAGGACTCCAGGATCATGACTTGAGTGGAAGGCAGACACTTAACTGACTGAGCCGCCCAGGTGCCCCAGGGATCATTTTGTTATAGTAGTACAGATTTAACTAGTAAGACCAGTGAATACAAGACAAAACTTATAAAAAAACAAATGTGCATTCAGGATTTTCATACAGAAAAGACAAAATCAATTTTTGAAATTTTAGGATTTGGAGAACTTTGAAGATATTACTCTGTTGCTTCCTAGCATCTAATGTAGTCAATGAGAAGCCAGTAACAGTGCTGGGGGACCCAAGATGAGTCCATTGTTTCTCAACTCTAGAACATTTTCCTTCATTATTTCTTTAATAACCCCCGCTCCCCCATCTCTTTTCATTGTTTCTGGGCTTTCTGAATTTGTTTTTAACGTCTCCTCCATTTTTTCTCATATTTCTGTTTATTGTTTTCCCTCAAACTCCTGAACTCTAGGGTAGCCAGCAGTAAACATATTGAAAAATAGCCCTTCATTTGAAATCTTAACTCTCATTGTGCGAGGAGTAAGGAGGGACTATAAGTGCTCTCTATTTTTTTCAATGTGTTTTGAAGTGAGTCTCATCACTTTCCACAGACTTATTGTTGCTTGTTTCTTACAAGTTAGAGTTTTAATGGTCAGCCGCTTTAAGGTGCCACCTCACTAGAATAGTGAAGATAATAATAAAACTGGAAATAATAGCTGGGATTTAGTGAACATTTACTGTGTGACTGGCCTGATTATAAGAATTTTGCATCTATTCTTCATTTAAGACTTCCCTGAGGTATTTGTCATTATTTCCCTTTACAGATGAGGCAAATGGGGCAAGGAGATGTGAAAGGACTCACCCCAAGTCACATAGCTAACAGCAGGTTGAGCTGAGAGGTAAACCTTCCAGGTCACATGCCCTAAAGGTTTTAATTCCTAGTAAATGAATAAAATAGTATATGTTTATCTTTTGTATTTTTCCACAGAACCATGCTGGATATTTGAGTTCACTGCTTCAGGTAAGTAGAGTTTTGCAAGAAAAAAGTATTGCCTGTGTTTATCTTTGGAGCCTTGTAGGAATCCTTTGAACATTTTATTGGCATATGTTTTAAATGGTTCTACTGCTGAGGAACTTCCTTTGTTTATTTCTCACTCATGACTTCTGTCCATCTCCTGAAGCCTGCTTCTGACCTTTATCTTTTCTTCAAGCTGTAAGAAAACAAGAGGTATTTCAAATTAGCCCTGAATTTCTCATTTGGCTGAGCTATACCAGAGACAATGGGCTGATAGAGAATAAGCAAAAGGGATTGTATTTGATCTGGGGATTGTTTAATTAAGAGTTCTTTTTGGAAACTGCCCCAAAAGATGTTAAATTGATTAGGAAGCTAGGAGGAAGTGTGAGAAGGATACAAAATTAATTTTAACTATCTCTTTTCCTATTTTCAGAGACTATTGAGTTACTAAATTATTGCCGAAGTGTGTCAATATTAAATGATGCTTCAGAAACCAGTGTCACCAGAAAGTATATAGAATTATGATGCCTCTAATCCTGGAAGTAGAGATATAATTGGAAAAATTTTATCCAATGTGTTTGAAATTCATAAAGTTGTTTCAAGTCACTTGATATTTTAAAAAGTAACTTTCTTTGATGCTTCTACAGAGTTAAAGATTAAAGTTCATATTTTACCATAAATATTACTCTGTTTTTGTTCATTGGTATTGGTTGTAGTAGTTCTATCAATTCTATAAATTAATATTCTCAAATTCTATCTAATTCTCCTTTCTTTGCAAGGGATTTGTTGACTTATGTCTAAGACCACTTTTTTTTGCCTTCACTGAAAACAGTAAACATATTACCGAGAAACAGATGGAAAATTATTACAAGATTCTTAGCTAGATCCTTCATGAATCTCCTACTTTCCATCCCCATTTGTTTACATTTTGCGGGGGAAACATTAAGCAATTGTAACATTCATCAGATCACTTCATACTGATGGATGAGACAAACTTTCAGAAAAGCCAGCTGGGGAAAAAAAAAAAAGGAATTAAAAAATGGTTTAATGGAAATGTACTGAAGAAGTAGGGAAATATTAGAATGTCAGTGAGAGGGAAATTATTACGAAGTGTCACAAACTATTAATTTTGAAACATTACATTTAGGCACTTTCTGTTTTGTTATTGGTGTGAGAAACCCATTCAGTGGAGATATAAAATTTAAAAGCCAAATTGGACACTTTGAAAATCAGATCCAAGTGTTTGTGTGAATATGTGTCTGTGTGTTTTGGGAGAAGTTGTAAAGAATACTTTCAATCACATGATCTCCATTTTAATTTTATCCACATGACCTGGGATCCTACAGGGACCCCTTAAGAAGAGAGAAGTAGGTTGGTGCAGGTGTCAGAGCAAGATCAAAGGACAACAGGCTATCTTTTAAAAAAATAAAACAGGAAAATAACAATCTGGAACCAAGTGTTCCAGTGCTTTGATAGTGATACCTAGTGTAATGAAGCTTTTTGTGCCTTTGTGATCCATGTTTTATAAAAACTTACAAATACACTTGTATATTAAAAACAGTTACCAATCAGGACATATGAAACAATATGAAAATTGCTATAATTTTAAAAAGAGTTATGATGAGATCTGTTTTCCAGAGCCATAGCTTATTTTAAGAAATATTATCTGTAGGTGCAATTTATCTTTTTTGGAGATAAAGATGAGCTAAAACATTGTTCCTGGAGCTTATACTTTGGAGGGGAAGCTGTTATTATGCAACTGATCAAATTAATGAATATATAATTTAAAATGTGATAAGTTTAAAGAAAATTAAAAAAAAAAAAAACAACTCAGCTCTGGAAAAGTACATAACAGACAAACATGACCTAATCTGGAAAAGTAAAGATCCATGAGATCAGACGATTGAGTAAGGGTTAACCAGGTGAAGGTGAGGAGCAACAAGAGAATTCTGTATGGCAGAACCAGTACATTTAAGATCCCTGTGGAGAAAGGAAGCCCGGAAAGAAGAGAGTGGTGAAAAGAGAGGAGGGTGGAAGTGGACGGAAAAAAGCTGGAGAAGTTGGCAAGAACCAGACCACACAAATAATAGGGCCCTGTTTGCCATATTCAGGATTTCAGTCATTATTTTAATACAACAGGAAAAAAAAGTAGATTATAATGGGGCTGTGTAGGGGAAGAAGGATTGCAGGTGTGTTAAAATCAGATTTACATTTTGAAAAAGTTACCTTACCATGGAGAACAAACTGGGCAGGGACTAGAATAAATTTTGGGAGGCCAGTTATTGCAGTAATCCAGGTGAAAGATGAAGACAAATTCGATTAAAAGAGAGGCAGTATAGCTGGAGAGAAATGAATGGAATTTAGAAACAATGCATGAGTTGCCTGAGCTTAGTTCATTCCTTTGATGTGGGAGGTGATGGAATGGGAGGGGTCAAGGATGCTTGACCGCAGGTTAGGTTTTAAGGAATTGGACGGGATGTTGCCATTCACCAAGATAGTGAATACTGTTAAGATTGTCCGGTTTGTGTGGGTAGGATCATGCTTATCCTAAGGTGTACTGACTTTGCAGAACTATTAATAGAGAAATTCACATGGCCTGTTCCATAGGTGCCTGGAGCTTAGGAGATAGAAATTGTGAGATATTAATTTAGAAACTATGGAAATGGGTGCAGTGAGGGCTAGAGAAAGAGCATAGTGTGAGAAGAGAAGGCAATTAAAAGTAAACTAAGATAGCATTTAATGGCTGGATTAAGGATGATGAGATCTCAAAGGTGAAATAGAGGAAGTATCAAATATGTAGGAAGAAAACAAACGGGGCGCCTGGGTGGCTCAGTCGTTAAGCGTCTGCCTTTGGCTCAGGGCATGATCCCAGGGTCCTGGGATCGAGTCCCGCATCGGGCTCCCTGCTCCGTAGGAAGCCTGCTTCTCCTCTCCCACTACCCCTGCTCGTGTTCCCTCTCTCACTGTGTCTCTCTCTGTCAAATAAATAAATAAAATCTTTAAAAAAAAAAAAAAAGAAAAGAAAGAATATGGTTTAGGGAGGACAAGGAAAAGAGAACTGAAAGTAACGAGCAGTCAGGACTGCTAATGACTGACTGAGGAATCAAAAAGATCAGGACTAAAATTAGTCATTATAGGGGCGCCTGGCTGGCTCAGTCTGTGGAGCATGGGACTCCAGATCTCAGGGGGCATGAGTTCAAGCCCCATTTTGAGCATAGAGATTACATACATACATAAATATTTAAATAAATTAAAAACATTTAAAAAGAAATTTAGGCATTACATTTTGTGACAGGATCATTGTCAATCTTAGGAACATTTTTTTGTTATTATTGTTGTTGGCATATGTTTTTTATATCCATTAAGTAAATATATAGAAGTGGGATTGCTGGTCATATGTTTAACTTTCTAAGAAATGACAAGACTTTTTCCAATGCACCTGAATCAAACATTCTACCAAAAATATATATGAGAGTTCCAGGTGTCCCACTTCCTCACCAACACCTAGTTGTGTCAGACATTTTAACGTTTTAACAGCTTTTTTGATGTAACATTGATAAACCATAAGTGCACACATTGTAAAATCATATTTAAAAATAGGTACCTATGTAAATATTTAAATCATACAATTTAATATTTTGACATAGGTATAACCCCTGTTAAGTCATTACCACAATCAAGATAGTATACATGTCCATCACCCCAAAGATCCCTTTTTGCTGTCCCTCCCTCTCACTACTCCCCCACTCCACCACCCTAGCAACCAGTGCTTTCTGTCTCTCTGTGTTAGTCTGTATTCTTTAGAATGCTGTATAAATAGACTGTACTTAAGTGGTAATTCCCATTGTCCTTTTTGTGGTACTATCAATAACAATCTGTGCTAAGATTGTAATCGTTTACAAAATCTGTGTAAAAATTGTATATGAATTAACTTGGAAGAATTTTCATATTCTTCCTTGATCTACATAATTTTAAGGTATTTTTATGTGGCTTGGATATATTACATATGCATATCTTAGCCAGACACCTCTGGCTATATACATTGGTCTATTATTATTTTGGGAAATTATAAAGCATATTGTAACAAATATTCTTTTAATGGAAATTCATACACATCATGTGAGGTGTAAAGACTTTCACATTTTGCCATCATTAAATTACATTTAAAGCTCTTGAAATACATTGCTAAATTCACTCCAGAGAGACTGAACTAATTTACAGTCTTAGCTAGGGGAGTGCCAAATTATGTATATCCTCATCGACCCTGGGTAGCTACATTAAAAAAAAAAAAAAAAAAAAGGATTTGTCCACTGGTAAGCAAGAATACTATTGGTGGTGAGACATTTTTATATTATATTTTCAAGTAAAAAACGCATTTCAAAATATCATATGTGTTATAATATGATTTCATAAAATTTTTTATGAGTATAAATGTGAATAAATATGAGAATATATACATTCAAAATATGTGTCTGTGTGTGATGGACTTTCATATATGTAGATTTGTTTTATTTTTATTTTTATTTATTTATTTATTTTTGCCTTTCAAGCAAGAATTTTACTTTAGGCTAACAAAATAGTCTCAACTGATGAAACAAAAAACACTATTTGAGAGAGGACTGCCAGATAATATATTTAGAAGAAATGATGAGATTAGGAAATCATCCCTTTACAACTTTAATTGATTCAAAATAAGATTATCAATTGTTGTTAACATTAAGTAAATGGTTGGTGGGAAACAGAACATCTTTTTGATACCAAAGGAACACAACACAGTCATGAAGAAAAACAACTTTAGATTCTTTTTTTTTTCTCTTCATGAATTTTTTTTTATTATGTTATGTTAATCACCATACATTACATCATTAGTTTTTGATGTAGTGTTCCATGATTCATTGTTTGCATATAACACCCAGTGCTCCATTCAGGACATGCCCTCTTTAATACCCATCACCAGGCTAACACATCCCCCCACCCCTGTCCCCTCTGGAGCCCTCAGTTTGTTTCTCAGAGTCCATAGTCTCTCATGGTTCGTCTCCCCCTCCAATTTCCCCCCCTTCATTTTTCCCTTTCTGCTATCTTCTTTTTTTTTTTTAATGTATAATATATTATTTGTTTCAGAAGTACAGGTCTGTGATTCATCAGTCTTACACAATTCACACCACTCACCATAGCACATACCCTCCCCAATGTCTATCACCCAGCCACCCCATCCCTCCCACCCCCCACCACTCTAGCAACCCTCAGTTTCTCTCCTGAGATTAAGAATGCCTCATATCAGTGAGATCATATGATACATGTCTTTCTTGGATTGACTTATTTCGCTCAGCATAATACCCTCCAGTTCCATCCACGTCGTTGCAAATGGCAAGATTCCATTCCTTTTGATGGCTGCATAATATTCCATTGTATATATATACCACTTCTTCTTTATCCATTCATCTGTCGATGGACATCTTGGCTCTTTCCACAGTTTGGCTATTGTGGACATTGCTGCTAGAAACATTGGGGTGCATGTTCCCCTTCAGATCCCTACATTTGTATCTTTGGGGTAAATACCCAGTAGTGCAATTGCTGGGTCATAGGGTAGCTCTATTTTCAACTTTTTGAGGAAGCTCCATACTGTTTTCCAGAGTGGCTGC